ACAAAAATAATTAAGCAAAGACAAAATTATTTTTAATTTCCAAAAAAAGCTACTTTTAACGAAATAAGGTTGAAATATTCTGGCTATAGCGACATCTACCTTTACTTTTTTCTTACCTATGACATTCGTGATAATAGACTAGACTAGATAATAGAGAGAGACTTTTTATTAATTTGTGACCATGATGTTGGGAGAAATGGTGCTAGAACTCTGTTCATTCTTGTGGATTGGGTCGGTAGATGGTGCCACAATAACATTTTCTGTCATTTTGAATGAAAATTGATATCGATAAAATGAATACCAGTGTGGTAACAGAATAAAAAAAGTAATTGAGAGGAGAGTAAAAAAGAAAGTAGCTCCAATTGTTGAAACGGTTAATAGTGGAAGTCGCTAATAATATTAAATACTAAATTACAAAATTATTGAAAATTTAATGTTAATATTCTTCTTCAGTATGTCAAAACTTATCAATGTTAGCTGAAAATGGTTATGATTTTAGGTCCTTTTTGGTTGTTTCGTATCCTTTCTTGGTCGTTTTTCCGTGTGTCAATTATTCTAAATTAAGCATCAATAGTTAATAAAAAAATCTATTGTAAAGAAAAACTGAAAGCCCAGTTTTTGATACCTATTTAATCCAGAAATACAATCAAATTGAGATTATTTATCAAAATACATTAATGCACCTTCCTACAATGTACAAGCAAAAGTTGTCCAAAAACTTTTAAAATAAAAGAGAAATTTATAATAATTACTTTGAACGGCTTAGACTTGATTGCATTCTTGCCATATTTCATATTATTATTATATTGCCTCTATCTTTGTTCAAATTTAATTTTTAATATTTACTTCCTTTTTCTAATCTTTTGAGTCAATCGCCAACACATAAAATATTACGAATGGCGCGTCTACTATACAGAATGCGCCAGAACTCGCGCCTCAAAGAAAAATTCCATATAAGGTAAGAAACAAGGAACATGGAAAAAATGTGAAAAAATTCTATTTATTAAAATTTAGAAGCTATGAGAGTTTAAATTTTGCACTTTGACTCTACAGGATGCGCCAGAACTCGCACCCCAGATAAAAATGCCATATAAGGTGAGATACCAGAAACATGGAAAAAATGGAAAAAAAAATTATCTATAAAAATTTCGAACTTATGAGGGTTTAAATTTTGCACTTTGACTCTATTTATTTCTGTTGGAAAAATAATTTTAGAAATTCTTTTGCTATAGGCTATTAAAAGAGGAAACAAGAAAGATATATCCTAAATTGTAACTCTGTTCAACGTTATTTGTGCCTTTTATTGGCAAATTTTTTCTACTTTAACTAAATAATTGTAAAAAAACATATACAAGATCATCAATATCATTAAATAGACATAAAAAATGTCAAATGTCAAAAAATAAATGTCAAAATTTTTTGACAGAATATTTAAACATTTTGGCGTATTCTGTATTTATTTCTGTTGAAAAAATAATTTTCTAAGTTTTTTTCCAGTTCCAATTTAGGAATTGTGACTCTGTTTAATATTATTTGTGGATTTTATTGGCAAAATTTTTGTACCTTTACTAAACAATTATAAAAAAAACATATACAAGATCATGTCAAATGTCAAAAAATAAATGTCAAAATTTTTTGAGAGAGAATTTTTTTAACATTTTTTCCATGTTCCTGGTATCTTATCTTACTTAAATTTTTTCTCTGGGGCGCGAGTTCTGACACATCCTGTAGTTTGTATTGTAAGATGTTCAATGTGTTGCCCTATCATCTACAAAATAATGCAGAATTTTTAATTAATAAAAATATTAAACAATTCTTTTATTAAGTCTTTTGCACTCGAAGACTAACAATACAAAAAAGAAACAAAAATACAAAGTAGACAATGAGAATATTAATAAAAAATAAATAAAAATAAAATCCAAATTATAAAATGGTGAACACAAATATGAAAAGATAAAATTGGAATGTAACAATTTTTGCTTTCAAAATTTAATTGGATTTTCTGTTATTTCTCTAGCACTTTCAATTTGTAAAAAATGAGAATTTTTTTAATTGAAGGTAGCAACACTTACCTACAAATTAATGAAATTATATATTTTATAAACAATAAATAAGGAAAAGTACACTTACGTAACATTTTTGCAATTGTTTATTCTCAGATAACGTGAAACAATGAACAATTTTCGTCCAATTTTGAAAAATCTTGAAAAATATAGATAAAACGCATTTTTTACTACGTGATAAAATCTCAATTATTACATACCATCAATAGGAAAAGTTCTATCAATTAAAACAATACCTGTCGTCTTTCTCGTCAGACTAATCTTTGATCAGCTGTTAGACTCTTCAAAAGCTGTTCAATCATTGTGATGTCAGAGGTTAAACAAGAAAATTATCTTTATAACTAGACCCACAACAGCTTCTACGCATTTCGTGTCTGATACGCGATGTTGCTCCGTCAAAGTATTGCAACTCTAGTCGTAGTAGCAGGGGTGTTGTGTGACATCGTCGACAACAAAGTAGAAGACTGCAACCTCCCTCAAGACCTCGTCAATGAAATCGCCTCATATGCACCAATTGTGCAAAAAATAATCAACACCTCGGTTAATGGGAGTTTCAAAGGGATCACCTACAACGAATTGGCTTATTTCGTCGACAAATTTGGTAACCGAATTTCCGGTTCGCAAAATTTAGAAGATGCAATTGATTTCATGATCAAGAAATCCAGTGCTTCCGGTCTGGACAACGTCCATGGAGAGGAAGTGCCAGTTCCTCACTGGATAAGGTATTCACACTTTTGGTGAAATTCCAAACTAGTTTTGGTTTTAGAGGATCAGAAAGTGCAACTTTGGTAGCACCACGTTCTAAGAATTTGACAATTTTGGGTTTGGGTAACAGTATAGGAACACCACCCGAAGGAATCCTTGCTGAAGTTCTAGTCGTGAAATCTTTCGACGAGTTAAATGCCAAAGCTGAAAAGGTGCGAAATTTTCTGCGAAGTTGATTTTTCTCAAACTTCTTGTAGGCAAAAGGAAAAATTGTTGTTTTCAACCAAGATTACATCAGTTATGGCCAATCTGTTGCTTATAGAGGTCAAGGAGCCACTGCTGCTGCTAAAGCTGGAGGAGTAGCAAGTTTAATCCGTTCCATTACCCCCTTTTCCCTCAACACACCCCATACAGGAATGCAGAGTTACAAAGACAATGTTACCAAAATACCAACAGCTTGTATTACAGTAGAAGATGCACATTTGTTGCAAAGATTACAAAATGAAGGTTACACGATCAAAATTCTTCTAAAAATGGAAGCCCAAACTTTACCAGATGTAACATCCAGAAACGTGGTGGCTGAAATTGAAGGCACAAAACACCCAGAGAAAGTAGTAATTGTGTCAGGCCACATCGATAGTTGGGATGTTGGTGATGGGGCAATGGACGATGGTGGTGGTGTTTTTATTTCATGGGGTGCGTTGGCACTCCTGAAAAACCTCAATTTGAAGCCTAAAAGAACAATCCGGAGTGTTTTTTGGACTGCTGAAGAGTTTGGTTATGTTGGAGCTTCTGGATACGCACAACAGCACCAAAACGAAACTGATAATTTCGTTTTTCTCATGGAGTCCGATATTGGGACTTTTAATCCAGTTGGATTAGAATACGCAGGAGGAGCTACTGGTTATTGCATTGTTCAAGAAATTGCAAAGTAAGTGATAATTCAAAGTCAACAAAAATAATTTTTTTTCGTAGATTATTGGCACCTATTAATGCCACTAAGACAAGACAGTCGTCTTCTGTGGGTTCTGATATTGAAATTTGGACCGGAAACGGGATTCCTGGAGCGTCTTTGGACACCGAAAATGATAAATATTTCTGGTACCATCACACACCTGCCGACACTTTAGACGCAGAAGATACAGCCGCTTTGGATAAAAATACCGCCCTTTGGGCCTCCGTTGCCTATGTTATCGCTGATCTAAGTATTGACTTTCCTCGAGATTCACTCAAGACCAAAAACTGATTATAATCAACTGTCTCAAGTATTTTTAATAAAGTGATAAAAATTATTGTGTTTCTTTCATTATCATCTTGAAGTGGATTTATTATTATCTTATATTTGAGCATTGCTCTAAGAATGTTTCTGTAATCCGAAATAACCCGAACCAACACGAAGCGACTCTATAAGAGGCCCGAAACAACTCGAAATGTTCCGAAGTGACTCGAAACGATCCGATATGTCTCACACCGACATTTGAACACAGACAATTTTTATACTTTCGTCTATTCGTCTATCGTCTATTCGTCTATTCGTCTATCGTCTATTCGTCTATCGTCTATTCGTCAATCGTCTATTCGTCTATTCGTCTATTCGTCTATTCGTCTATCGTCTATTCGTCCATTTATCTATCGTCTATTCGTTTATTCGTCTATTCGTCTATCGTTTATTCGTCTATCGTCTATTCGTCTATCGTCTATTCGTCTATTCGTCTATTCGTCTATTCGTCTATTCGTCTATTCGTCTATCGTCTATTCGTCTATTCGTCTATTCGTCTATTTGTCTACCGTCTATTCGTCTATTCGTCTATCGTCTATCGTCTATTCGTCTATCGTCTATCGTCTATCGTCTATTCGTCTATCGTTTATTCGTCTATCGTCTATTCGTCTATTCGTCTATCGTCTATTCGTCTATCGTCTATTCGTCTATCGTCTATTCGTCTATCGTCTATTCGTCTATTCGTCTATCGTCTATTCGTTTATTCGTCTATTCGTCTATCGTTTATTCGTCTATCGTCTATTCGTCTATTTGTCTACCGTCTATTCGTCTATTCGTCTATTCGTCTATTCGTCTATTCGTCTATTCGTCTATTCGTCTATTCGTCTATT